GGAAGTTTATGAACTTTCTGAAATCCTACCTGTCAAGGTTGTGAACAAGTGTGTTGCGGAGTGTTAAAAGTGTTCCTGGATTTTAACAAACAGGAATTAAAGAGTATAATTTAGTGCTGCCAAAATTAATTGCTATGCTCTACTTACACAGCAGCCTAAGACAGGAAACAGGTAGCTAGCTGAATGCAGAACTTCAGTATTTCTTAATGCCATTACAAAAATCCCAAATCCTGTTTCCCGAGAACCACAATGTCAATGGAGATGGCAGAAAACTACAAGCAAGTGCACACAGATAAACTCAGAGATAACTCTCTGTGCTCTAACAGAGCTTTACTTCCAAGGCCTATGAGACATAAGTTTATTTGCAATGAAATCCAAGGGCCTGATATTTTAAAGTCCATTAAAAAATTCCCATTTTTTAAAAAAAGAACTAGGTGTTAGCACTGTGTAAAACAGGAACCACTATGAACAAAGTCTATGCAGATTTCAGGAAACACAAAATGAAGACATCTCCTAGGCCTTTAGCTCTCATTTCCTGTTCTGCTTTCTTCTTTACTCAGAGCTGAAAAGAAGTAGGTTCAGGCTGGATATTAGGAAGAATTTCTTTACTGAAAGAGTTGTCAGGCATTGGAACAGCCTGCCCAGGGAGGTGGTGGACTCACCATCCCTGGAGGTGTTTAAGAGATGGGTAGATGTTGTACTTAGGGACATGGTTTAGTGGCGTTGGTAGAGCTAGGACAAAGGTTGGACTCGATGATCTTGAAGGTCTCTTCCAACTGAAACTGTTCTATGATTCTATGATCTTGGAATACACCATATTACAATGCCTGGTCATGTAAGTCTCCTTTTCTCTCTGCAGGTGTCCACACAATAATTTGATTAGAGCCAGAAGAACCCAGTCTTTCCTAAACAAAAGCCACAGCCAAAACAACACCAATTCTCTACCACTAGTATGTCACTCTGGAGACAATGCAATGACAGGGCAAAGTTACCGGCTATAGGTTCCAGGCTCCTATTAACAGTGTGCCACACTTAACATTTCTGCTGATACACCATCTTGTACTGAGGATATGTGGTACCACTAGCAGTGTATGTGCTCTTAAGGCAAGAACTGAGAGATAAGAAATGCCTTACTGCAAAAGAGGAAGCTCATATAAGCACAAGCTCATTATCAGAGAACTGGCATTCCTTATACTACTCATTCAGCTCAACAGATACAGTGTTGTACTTTTAACACCCAACTTTCTGCCCTTGGTAGCGCAAGATGAAGCTCAAGAAGAGTGTACTCTAGAGATCATTTATTAAAATTCAAAATATATTAAACTCAGACAAACATACCTACTACCTTCCTTCAACAGTGCAATAGCAATCCGGATCCGATTCCTTAGGAAGATCAGCATCAGTATGATTATGACCTCAACACCACAAAGGATTATCACTGTAAACGAACAAAGTTAGATTTATCAAGAATCAAAGCAATATGCTGCCTTTTATTTTTTCTCTTCGTATATTACACTATCGTTCATGAACTCCATAAAATTCTCTGCTAGAGCAGTTCTTTTTTTCTCTCACTTGCCAATCTTCAACTCCATTTCATAGTTTTGTAAGTTCCAGTGTAGGGAAATTCTACATGCAGAGAGTTAGAATGTGTAGGACCCTGACATAAGCATTTATAATTTTAGAAGAAAAATTGAACATATCATTCTTAGACAAAGATAATTTACTTAAAGGTGACAGTAGTATTTGGCCTTAGGTACAGTTCATCCTTAACAAATCCTACTTTTCATAGACTTTGCATGTTTATACTCTAATGCTGCTAATCTGTAGTATTCAGATACAGTAAAATAAATAAAAAGAGAGATTAAGAGTCAACATTTTCACAAAGAGTGTATTTTTCTAATATATATTATTCTATCATTCAGATGTACTTAAATCAGCAGGTTTGTTTGAGTATCAACCATCACCTCATCTGAGTAAAAAAAAAAAGCAAGAGACTAAGATAGGACAGTTTTGGAGAAATTATTTTCACCTTCCAGTTGTGTTGCTGGAATCATACACACTTGCTCTGAGGTCAGAGAGTTGAGTGCACCATGTCCCAGGACATTTCCTCTTAGTTATGAGCAGTGTTTGAATCATAACCCAGACCTGGTTTAAAGAGTCTGCTTCAGTGTTATTTCTGTTTGCATCAGTTCAAAACCTAGTTCTGCAGTAGGTTACACGCATTTCAGCACGTATTTTTGATGGTTCCCCATGAAGGAATACATAATCAGGTTTCTTTAAAGTTAGTCTCATTCCAATTCAGCTCTGTTAAGTTAATGTAGCTTGTCCCAGACATTGTGAAAAAGGAAAGCAATGTCAGTACATGATGAGTTCTAGACCAGGACTAAAAGGGCCTATTGTTTCAAGGATATTTAACTGCTTTGCTGGGTGACTTTGGAAAAGTAAAAAGTAATTTAATTCCCGAGTACCTCAATTTGCTCATCTGACAGTGACAATGACCTCCAGACAAACTATACATTGGCTGGTAAGAATCAGGCAGGGGAAGAGCTTGCAGAGCTACAAGCGAAAACATAATGAAGTCCTAATATTCTCTAGGGACAGCATACTAAAAAGCTCTGCCTCAAGAATATGTGGAAAATGCCCCATGAGCTCAATGATCCAACATAGAGTTAAATGAAGACACAAAGCAGAGACAGGATATTTTTAAGCAGTAATACTTTAGCTACCAATAGGGCGAGGCAGTGTTTTACGTTATGTCCCATTCACTGTCAGTTAGTGTCTGCGTGCCTCCTCATAGAACATTAACAGCAGTGCAAGTAATATTTGACAGGTATTTGTTCTCTCTTCCACCCCTCATTCCCTGGGCAGGGATGTGTATGCTGCAGTCTGTCTTGTTCCAGTAGGACTTTGTTTTAAAAAGAGAAGGTAACGAAGCACTTTTGAAAATAAAGGTGATGAAATTTGCAATAGTTCATTCCACAGTCTTAGATCAGCCTCCAAGAAAATTCAGTGACCTGAATGTAAACAGTTCTACAAAGATGTTTTAGAGTTGTTAATCTATTTTCTGGGGCCCTCAAAGAGGGAGAATAAACAGGTTGGGAGAAAAAATATGCCCCTCCTTATGCAACTTCATCAGGACTAACTGTTACTGCTTTCTACTTCCCCATTACGAAGACTGAACACAGAGGAACTGGAATGCTAATAACACGCGCGTTTTTCACTCTCATCAATAGCGCAACTGCATTATGTCCCCTTACAAATATACTAGCCTCCTTGAAAAAAAGTAGCACACTACAAAGAAAGAGAATTCTGCTTATTTCTGAACGACACATTTACATTTACATGAGGATATTTAACAAGGCAGAAACTGTACCAAGGCAGTGACTGATCTGCCTGAATATCCATTAACATATACCAAGTTTAAAAGGCACTTACTAAATGCTAACCATGTTTGCCTCAGTTGCAAGTACACTCTGAAGTCAGTCTGGAATCCAATATCGTAAACAGTGAGGTCAGATCCAGGTATTCCTTTAAGATGATCATACTCCCAGTAACAATGCCATATGCCTTTTAAAGAACAATCAGTATAAGATGAGTGTTTCTGAAGACCACAAAGACAAGTTTTTTAAAAAGTTCTTTTACAAGCCAAGTGTTTTGTCCTCAGCATGTCAGGTAAGCAAAAAACCAAAACCGCATTACTGTGAGACTCGCCAATTATAACATCACATATACAGAAAAGAAATATCAGTACAAGTGAATACAGACTAAGCATTCCATGGGTAGATAACTCAGGTTGCTACATCCGGTGCTAAGTATCAGCACAGCTGGATTCTTCCTAAATTTCACTGCCATTTCGGCACTTCTCACTCAACTGTGCCTAAAATTAGGCATTAGTTCTCCCAATTGTACCATTTAAATAATGTAATTACTGGTTTTCCTCGCCCAGACTTAAGCAATAAGGAAAAACAGCCTCAGAGACTAGAATTTTAGACCTACCATAACCTATAATTCCAATCACACCAAAGATGAAAATCCAGAAGAGAACCCCAGCCGTGAACCTCAATAACACAAGGAAGAGCAGACTCACAATCATTGCAATGAACAGCCCACTAGAAAAACGAGAAACACAAACACAAGGAAAACAAGCATGAGAATCTTCACTTTTCTTGCATGCCTGTTACTCCAAATGAGGGTCACTTCATCTCACATAAGATAATGATTTGTAAAAATGTATTTCCAAACCTTCCTTATGAAATACAGCCTCATGGCTATTTTATCTGCTACTAGCTTACATAAGATGACCTCACAGTGCCGAGTCAGAAATGTTTGTATACACTAGGTTCTCAGGTTGGCTGAATGGGACTAGTACAATGCCTTTTTGGTCATTTAGACCAGCTGAACTCACTGCCTTTTTCAGGCCATGGTCTAGTCTACAGTACAGAAATTTAAATTGGAGGAATACCTATGTGTGGGGAGGTTGCTGTTTTATGTCTTGCATTACAAATCCCTACTTGCAAAGAAACAATGTTAGTAAAGTAACATTCTAGGAGCTTTCCCAGAAAAAAAGAATTAAATTTAGGAGGAAAGCCAGTGACTCTCTCCACCCACCAGAAGAGGAAATGATCAGGGCATTGTGATGCATAAAAAGAAACTGTTAAGAGCTATCAATGGGGCCCCTAGGAAAGATTTCTAGAGTGTCTTCTCTTTATCAAGTAAGGAAATATTTGTTTCCATTTCACTCCCAGAAAGCAAGTCAGAAAGGAAAAAAATGGCTGCAAAAGGCCTTTTTACTCAGCAAGGCCTTCTAAAGCAATGTGAATAATAATCCCATCCAACAAACATCCAGCTCAGATGCTTCACAGAACGTCTCATTTCTCAGAATTTTTAGTAGGTGTTATATAAGAATTTTGTATTAGTACCGACTCAAAAAATTTAAGATCTCTGCTTGCCTGTGGTCAGTAACTTCTCTTCTGAATGTTGCCAGCTTATTTAGCCAGTTATCAATGATAAAAAATGGGTCAGCCGGATCATAAACAATCAAAATGGGCAGAGGGACAAGAAAAAGAACATCAGCTTATTTAGTTAAACCTTTGTAAGCTGGTGTTACGTCCTAGCCCTTTAAAGACTTCCTAGCATGATATATTTTCCCTTTCTGAATGGCTTGTTTGAAATTCAGAATGTATTCCTCAAAAAAAGTTGTCGTTTTGGAGCTTGTTACTCTGTTCTTGAAAGCAGTAAGTTGCTTTCATCTAAAGTTATCTTTAGTTATCTAAAGATATACACAAGTCCTAGTAACACCAAAACTGACTACATGGTAATGACTGTCCTCAATAGACTGGTTCCCTTACGCTGAGGCTTGAAAGCAGCAGTTCTTTCGGGGTATGCTAAAAAGACTAGAGCAATCCTAACTTTAATTTTTAATCCAGCCTTCTTTCACTATGAGGTCTTCATTGTCTTCACCCAAACTGGCACTTATATATGTTTGTCCAGAAATTGTTTGATGTATGCTATAATTTGGTGAAAAGTGTGAAGCAAATTCTGTCCAACTACTTTAAAAAATAGCAACAATTCCTTATATAAATATCATACTGAAACATGGAAACTGGCTTCGGTATGTAGAATTTCTGTTCAAAAACCGGTCAATTCTCTCTCCAGATTATCTGTTCAGTGATATCTCCTTTGAAAGAATCTGCACCATAAACCTGATTTCAATAAGAGATATAGAGAACTGAGCTTGCTGAACACCAGTGAGTTTCTTGTCACTGACTGTTGTGAGCACAGTATCAGACTATGAGAAAGTTGTCCTCCCACCAGTGACTGAACACCTTTAAAAGCTGACAACTTGTGTTTCTGAACTGACTAATTCTCCATATTAAGTTTATTGTCTAAAGTTTATGTATTTATTGTTGTGGATTTGCATTCAGGCTTAATAATGCATGCTTAATATGTCCACGTTATAGGCTTTCACCTGGCAAAGACTTCTGCTCCTGTTCAAATTGATCAACACTCTGGTCCATGAAAAACTATATTAATGGGCTAAGAATGCATGTATACTTACTTATTTGCTTCAGTAAAATAGCTACTTCTTTTGTTTGTGCTGCATTTTTACTATATGGTGATTAGTGAGTATTAATTGCAAGATAAAGGTAATTCTGTTCAATACTTCTTGTTCTTGATGTTGCTTTGCCTGCTGCATTGGATTTATGGATTTATATTGGATTTATGTATTATAACAGATTTAACTATATATTGCTAGTACAGATTTAGAAATTATGTGGTTTATATGTACACTAATGACACTTAGCAACTGCAATTAGTTTGAAAGTCCCTTAATTAAGATTTTCCAGTTTTGGAATTACTGTGCAGATGGGTCTTGCCATAGAAGACAGCACCTCCTGTTTTTCTGCCTGGTAGGATATTAAAAAACTACTCCAGATCAACTGACACTCCATGTATGTATGCATGCTGTGCTATCCTTACCTCATGTACAGAACCATGACAAAATTATTATCACATGATGAAAAGAAATTACAGTTGCTCCTTGAGTTTAAAAGTAGGCTTGGTAACAAACACACACCTGATCTATTTTTTATTTCCCTGCATGCTCCAAAATGAGTTTGGAAAAATTAAAAATACCCATGAAAATCTTACATTAAAATCCAATACCAAGAAATGGCATAGTCTTCAAAAATTTTCATTCCAACTGATCTTGCATCCAGGACATTATTGATGCCACTGAGAAAAGACAAACCAAAGAAAAGGTTGCTTTAAGTAGAAAAGCAGAATTTATTTAAACAACAAATAGGCTCACTGAAAGAATTTGAAATATCTTTGCTAGTGATAAGAGTATATTACTATCCACCAGCTCCAGCTCTGTAACCAAGCCAACACCACACTTACGCCAAAGAAAAAACCTGTGCAAAAATGTCTATATAGCTCCTGAAAAAACTTTAACAAAAAAAGATTCACGAGTACTATCTCCAGATATAATTGCTTATTATGTCACAAGAAAACCGTATACTATTAAGATTCACGATGTACCAAGAGCCAAACAATTGTGACTCCAGAACTGCTAATAGCAGAGAAGCAGAAAACAGCTCAGTGAAGCAAAAGGTTGACTTTATGCAACTGTTTTCCTACCCTGCAAAGCGCTTGCCCATACTAATGTTTTCCTAAGAAGAAATGAATGATCTTCTTATCGAAGAACAGACAATGTAGTTGTAGATGCCAGAAGAAGGGAACTTAATGAGGTGGAGGTGTTATCAGTGTTGGTAAAGTGCTAGAATGTGGTAGCCTTGGATCAAGAGGTAAGAAAAGGTACCCCTGTGCTCCAGACAGGCTGAGGACTGACAGCAGCTGGAAAAGAGGCTATTGCAGCAGTTTTCTCTCATCCTGGTTGATGCCCAGGATTGGAGTCGCTTGCTGTCCATCTGCAAGGGAGGTGTCATGTGTTAGAGCCCAGTATGACGCTTTTTGACCTTTAGACATATACTAAACCCAGGAGCACTCTGATGAAGTAAGATGCCCAAAGTACTAGGACAGTCCATGTTAGTGCAAAGGCCATCATAGGAAGGAATAGCCGAGGCCATTTGTGGCTGGCCTGAGCCCCGTAGCACAAGGATTTAATTTTGAACCTCCTTTAGCTTTCTGTAATACTAGTTTTTGCTAGGAGAAACAACAACTAATTTTTGCTAGGAAAAACTGACAGTAACTCTGAGACAACCAGATTGAAACTTTTGGCTCCTTGCTCAGTTCTGCATAACCACAGCGCTGGTTTTCCTTACTGGAATTTTGCAAGTGCCCAGGCACAGAGAGACCATTTACTAGCAAGTCTTGCCTGGGTACTCTTTAACCATTTGCTACAACAGCTTCTGATTGTTAAATAATTTAGGAATTGAAAAAATAATCTCAGAATCCCACAAACACATACTTAAGAAGGGTAAAACCTACTTTGCAGCTTCCCTGAGATCGGTTACATTTCTTGTTTTCCCTCTTCCATCTTTGAACGTAGTCTGATTTGCCACAGTTAGCACACCGTTCTTAGTGGAGAAGTCTGGGAAGCATCTCTTCAGAACTATTCAAAATATCAAAACAAAGCATGCATATTACATTTCATGTCAAGCTCCACTTTTATCACTTGTCTTTATAACATATTTAAATAATTTTCGATTCACAGTCAATTGTTTTTCAACGGATTATCTAACAATATGATGACTTTGACAAATCTTAGAAGAGCCATTATATTTAAGATCATGATTTTTATGCTCTGCGGCTTTTTGTCCAAGCTCAGGCATGGTGGGATCTAGCTTTCAGCTGGAAAGTCTACCAAATAGAAAGAGTAGTATCTATAGCAGTTTAAGAATTTGTAATAAATGCGGAACTTGCTCTCTGTCAATATCTGGGCAGCTTACCCAGATAAACCCGCAGTTTCTCAAATATGTCATTTCATGGTAATAATCAAACCAGCCCTCAGGGACAGACTCAACATGACTGGTCACAAATGGTATTAGACCCCAAACCAATACATAACAGCATGTGTCAGTTCCTCATATGCCAGAAGAGCTCCAGTAGCAGCCACTATCACTAGATATTCTTGGAAAGGAAGTAATGGAAAAAAGACAGAAACTATTGGTTAAACAGAGGGAGAAGGGGATTATAAAAGAGAGAGAAAAGGAGAGATGTTTACATACTCATTTATGTTGCCCTGCTCTTTGCTGCAAAAAAGTCCTGGTTTTCATTCCAAGGGGAAGAGCAGGTCAGTCCTCCTACACAGCTGTACTGTATTTAACAGTTCTGTGCTTTCCTTATCAGGTTCCAGTAAATACTGATGTCAGGGTTCAATATTCAGTCTAGAATATCTACCCCACCAATTATTCTGAGGAAATACTTAAGTAACATGTCTCTTTTCCTCCCTCTGTAATCTTTGCCCCTTGTTATAGTCTAAAATAAGATAACAGCTTCTTTGCTTATTGTCTGTCTTTTGGGTCAGTACATCAGTTTTCATAAAAATTCTTAATTTTTTTTTTTTTAATCCACATTTACTCTTTTTGATAACCTGTACCTGGTTTACGTGACATCTGTTTTAAAGCATGGAAAACTAAACAGCAATTTCTAATCTGCATAAGCTTCTGGGTCAGTGACAGGTACTCTTGGTATTACACTTCTGCAGCTGAGACGAGCTCTGAGACCTGTGGTTATCTACTCAGAGATATCCGCTGACTATAGTGACAAAAACCATTTTTTAGTCCCTTAATTCATCTGTGTGCCTTGCATAGCCAACACTGCAACTGAAAAGCAAGCTGCATTGTAATTGGGCTCAACTACCTGAACTTCAACAGCTGGCCATATGATCCTTCCTACATTCGTGGCATTTTCTTGATGCCCATGGGGTTGCTCGCTCACGTGTTTTGGAAAGCACAATCTGAGCTGTAAAGCTTTTGTTATCAGTTATGATTCAAGAGCAAGAAAGAGCTCAGCTTGACCCGACCACACGCTGAGTGTTTATGGATGGCAGCTAGAAAAAAAAAAAAAATCTTTATACTTTCAAACTGTTGAAAATTGAATGGATGTCACTGTCAGATAACAGACAGCTCCTAAGGACCTTGCCACAAAACACTTTTCAGACTGGAGTTGTGCTTTTAACGTGAATGCTTATAATCTGCTAAGATGTGTTAAGAAGTAGAACCACTCACAAGGCCTGCTTGGAATGATCATCGAAGGACAATCTTCATCACGTAGGACTTGAGCAACAGACTAAAAAGGGGAAAAATAGGAATGCTGAATACATAGCAGAATAACTACGTGGTTTTTGTTTCTCACCCAGTCTGAGAAAATGCCCCAAATTGGGCTTTGTAGGCTCCTCCCCAAACTTGACTGCTGGAGCTGCAAGATACATTCATGATGTAAGTGAGAATCCAAACTGTCATTGTGATTTGGGAAAAGACTATTCTTTCCTTTTCTAGTGATAAAAAAGAAAAGACCTGTTCACTTTGGATCAGCACCTAAGCCAGAGTGACTGAGCAATTGTTCCTTGTCTCCCCTTCACCTTTTTTCTTAAAGATGAGTAAGAATTTAACACAATTAATATAGCTGAATTGCAAGGTGTTCTAAAGATGGGAGAAATAACGCAGTACATTTGAGTGCAAAATCAGTTACATGAAGGATAGATTAATATTCCTAGCTAAATTACTAAGTAGCTATAGAGGAGTCAGGAGCCTTAAGAACTGGTTCAAGATACTCTGTTGCTGTGGAGTACCTCAGTGCTAAAGGATACTGCTTGCCACAGTATTGCAACTACATGGGTAGCTGCAGATATTCTTTTAAGCAAACTTTAATCATTTAAAGAGTGGGAGATTTGGTGTGCATACAAGATCTTCACCCCTGATTAAATCGCTGTCAAACCATATATACGTGACAACACCTTATATGGTGAAATCAGAATAACTCAAAGCTTTGCTGTAGCTCAGTAAAATCATGCATGTTACACACTGCCTAAAGAAAAAGAGTGTATTCCATCACCTATTGATACATACATACCTTGCGAGGATTGTTAAAACCAGGTTTGCAGAACTGTCTGAAGTAATTCCACTGATCTGGTTTGTATCTGTAGGAAGCCTGAACATCAATATAGGTTGCAAACCTGTCTGGGCACTTTGAGACACAAAGCTGCAAGAAAAGAAAAAAATTAGTAAAGATACACTGGGGGTAGAGAAGGGTAAGGGAAGTCCAATTAAAAAGCAAGAAAAAGGCCACCTGTAAAAGTGCACTGTTTCATGGAATTGCCTTCAGTACTGTTTACTGCAGTATTTAGAAAGGGACATATGTTTTCCTTTTATTTCCCTAGATGAATACTTCTAAAATTCTTTGATAGAATACACTTTCAAAGTCTCCATATCTAGCATTTCAAGCCACTCTCAGTATCTTCTTAGGTTCTACATGTTCTGGTGGATATGCAGAGCTTTCAGTCTGTTAAAATTTTTTTTTTTCTTTTGAACACCAGGAAAAAAAAAAATCTGTCAGGTTCTCCTCTACTTCCATCAGCAGCAGTGTATATGAGCAAGGTGGTGCAGCAGCTACTTTCACAGGATACATGTAATTTCTTTCTATTACATTTATTCACTAAAAAAATAAGTCTCATGCAGCTAAAATTGTCCCACCCTTGTACACAGTCTCTTCAGTCAAATACATCTCCACAGATATCATTCATGTCAAGTTAGGTGCAGATCACCCAAAGGTGACTTTTTACTAGTGACTAATGATGAATCTCCCCTGGTGACAAAGCAAGAGGGGTGCACGTGCCAGGAATGAAATTCACACCACTCAAGGTACAGCCATTGTAAACTGGATTTATGTGAGAAAATCAAGTGAGGACTGGGGTTTGACAAATGCATCCACTCAGAAGTTATGATTTAGATTTATGTAATGGAGAAGCAGCCGCCTCAATACACAGGCTCTGAAGGCTCTGCTGGTCACTGGAGTCACGCAAGTGTACAGCTGTCCTGACTCTTCAGTGTTCCTAAATACTGTGAGGTAGTTTGAAGTCCATCTTTTTAGCAAGTTTCAGCCTTTTCTAGAAGGCTTTTCTCTGTTTCCAAAGCTGTGCTATCCAAATACCCTTTGCAAAGCTCTGCTATCCAAGTACCACTGAGACATCATGCATGAAACCGTATTTCACTTCAAGGGCATTCCACCACATATGATTCACCTAAAGGAATTTTGGGAAAAGATCTTATACTAATCCTTAGAACAGGGCAGATGCTGCAAGAGGATCTTTCTACATGAGTACTACAGTCCTATGGACTACTCATAAGCCAAGGAACAAAGAAAGAAGAGTTTTGTCCTTGATGGGACAACAGGTGACTAACAAGTATACACTTCACTAAAACCATCTATGAAACAAGCAATGAAATGATCTCTCTATGGATCCAGTGAACTGTAATAACAGTTTGCAAATTCATGGTCTAAAGCAAGAACTGAAGCTCTTCCCGTGCCCATTCTTGGTTGTTTTTTTTTTTCTCCTGCTATTTGATATGAATGGGACAGGAATGAAAGACCCTGTCTGCAGTTCAAAAGAGGAATTATCAAACAAATGTTCCTTCAGCATTTTCACAAAAGACCAGAGAATTAACCATCTGCAGTAGCAAACAGCATTCAAAAACATTCTCAGTTTTCGAGATGTTGTATATTTGCAAATTGTTTATTTGTAACTGCTCTGTTCCCCCAAACTCTCCTTCAACAAGTATTTCACCTTACTTGATTCATGACCACTGCCAACTTGACCACAGCACCAGTCAAATCCCACAAAATGACAGTATTTCTGAACAGGCTGAATTGTTCCAGTAACAGTGTCTACAGACTGCGGGGTAACAGTGTTGGTGTCTGCATGTGGACAGACGGGGATTCCTGAAGCAAATCTGCTGCTGATAGAGAAAGTTTCCATTCTGGCAGCAACTGGTCAGTGTTAAGAGGGTTCTTGCTCTTCCTTGCTGGAGATTTCCGTCTCTTCAGCTGTGTCAAATGGTCCATATGGTCACACTAACTGATAGGCCAGAAACATCTATCAAGAATAGGGATCAGGGGTAAGGGCAAGCTGGAATGGGAAACATTTTATATGATAGTCAAACAAATAGACAATTAACATTTGTAATCAGTGAATTGGTTACCATGTAACAACCCTCATCCAAACTAACACAGGACTTCACTGAATGTTGTCAATATGGCTGAGACCATACTCTGTCCCTTGCAGTTTAATTATACAGTTGGCATATTACCTTGGCAGCAAAGTTGGATCAGAGCAGTCCTGCACCTAATTCCTCTGACCTACCCCATACCATAAGTTGTTGCCTCATAAGATGAACTGACATAACTGGTTGTGCAATTGCTCAACAAACCGGGTCAGTAAAATGGCCTCATGTAAAAGATCAGGAGGATAATTTTAACCCACACAAGTTCAGTGACTGGGTTTATTTCACAGCTTCACAAGAAGTTGCAGCACAGCTAAAGGAGTACAAATTGTGGCATAAGGCAAGAATAAGCTTTCAGGATCTTCACTTTTGAAAGTGCCATAGGCTCTAACCACATCCAGATACTCCTGTCACTGGGGATATGCGCATTTTCTTGATGTCTATGATGTTTGGATGCCTATGTCTAGTTTGGAAAATGCTAGATGTCAATCGAAATTATTTTCTGCATGCAGTGATTACTACTGAATAGCTGCCTGTGATGAATTTGTAAGTAACAAATTGCTGTATTCAACTGGTCAACTCCTATCCAAAATACACGATCTTGTGCATCTGTATTTTTTTTTCTGACCATCACAGGCTACAGAAAGCTTGCACTGCGCATCATCTATAAAACAATCATATTATATTTTGAAGGATATGAACAGCAATTTTTAAATCCAAACAAATGTATGTCTAGTTCTTAAGCACCACGACTAAAAGACAGGGAAACTATTTCATGTCTGTATTTTACTCACCTGTGTTGTAGGGCACTGTAGGTTTATTAACACTACGGGGCTGGCACATTTCAGAATGTTAAAGTAAAATAAAATGGTCTTGTTCCTATGGAAGTGGATATAAGATGGTTAGTGTTATAAATATGGGTGCTTATACATCCTTCCATTCAAAAATTTATAGCATACATCAGTATTTAAATTCTATTATTGTGAACGGTCATATTGCAAACACAAGACAAAAACCCAAATCCTAAGCAGACCCTGAATGTTCCATGCCAAGACATCTCTGAAAACAGAAGCATTTGTTCTAAAGAATGCTAATTGTAAGTTTTTTCCACAGCAGGGTTTTAAGCTGAAACAACCCTAGGCACTGTTACATGTATCTGTAGGCCTGTGTCTAAGAAGTGAAGTCTGTAAAATACCCCTGCAAAACCACTGTGGTCCCTTTGCTTAAACTGAACATACCGTGTATGCACTGCATGCAAAATTACTATCAGCAAATGCTACATGGTAAAAGCTGCCTATTTTTTGTTGATCAGAAGGTGGCACCAAAATCAATCCAAAGATTTTTACGGTTGGAAACTGAAAGCAGCTGGCCAGGAAACAGAATGATAATAACATTTGCTAATAACACTGATAAACTTTTTATATGAATAAAGGAGAGTCTGAGGGGTTTGCACCCCAGAATCCACACATGCGACAGCTTCTGGAACTTGGGACCTTGAGGTAGCTGCCACCTCAGTTTGGATTTGTTGAAAACTGATTACCCCAAGACCTCTGGATTTAAACACCTGGATTTTGAAGACAGCAAAATATGCTGTTACTCTTTGTCAGAAAATTATCAGATAGCTCTAGTGAAGATGGTATGGCAGTAGTCCTGCCCTTTTCACACAAGAATTCAAAGTCAGCAAGCCATGCCAGGAACAAGCAGTGTCCCTATATGAAATAATAGTGCACATGCTTGCTATGGCCTATGATGTAGAAGAGAACACAGTAAGTGGTGTTTGAGCCACCACTGACCCTCACTGTGGCAACGAAGCACAGAGGGAGCTCTGCCTTGGGAGCAGGATGGCAGCATTAACAATGAAGTGTGCTCGGGCTAACAAGGCTGCTCCACTTCTATCTGCGGAGTTAGCACAAGTCCTGCTCCCACATTTCTCCATTGTATCCCCCAGTCCAGGACATATCCTCTGATCTTCCACCATCACGTGGCTCCCAGCAATTGCTAAATATGGCTATGCTTCAAAGGTATTATATAGCATCACTGCACATTGAAGCTCCCTTTAAAACTGGGATTAGCTCAACTGCTTGACATTTCATAAGGTTAAACTGTTTTCACTGAGGTATCTTCTACTACGCACCGCTTAACAAAACATGCACCCTGGCAAAAACAATTCACTGTCATTAGTTGTTTTTTCTTCAAAACAATAGAATAAAATTGTGGACTGAAATGTCACTGTTCTTCAGTAGTTTCTTTACAGTATTTATAATCTGTGAGCTGCTCAAAGCCATTAATGAAATCTTTTTTTTTTTTCCTTACATCTTAGCCCACTTGCTGATATTGACAGCAGAGAAGAAAGTTTAAACATACATGTAACACAGGGAAACAGCCGCTGAAAACTACGTCTGTGCTCTTTATAACAAAACTGTGTTGTACTCTGTGATTACACTGTGCTCTGTAGAAGGCAAAACAAGCTTAGAGATTACACGGAGATTAAGGGATGGATTACAAGAAGACACAAAGAGGCCTAAAAGAGACTCGCAGGCCAACACAAGGTAGAATTAATTTGACTGCATGGAATTCACTAGAGTTCAAATGGCTTTTTGCAAGAGCTGTGAGTGTTGGCTTGGTTTTTGGTTTGTCTTTTCTGCTCCTCGGTGAGATTGCTGGGAATGCTTGTTCCAAGCACAAGATTCAAAATACAGAGACTGTGATCACTTTCCAAGGAAAAAGTCTCAGACTAAGCCCTTGGGGACTTTGGAAACCCATAGTCCTAGGTTAGCCTTTCACACTACTTACTTTCAGGGCATCTGAAAAATCTGACAATGTTATCAATGAAGGCCAGACGAGCACATCCCACACCTCCACTTTGAGGGATTAGATGGACTTGTTCAGAGGGACCTCCTGCCATAAACACTCTTGCTTTTCCAGTAGGTTGTATTATGTGTCTTTTGGCTTATATTTTTATAAGAAACTCCTCAATGTAGCAAATAAATACCAAAATGCAGTCTCAGTAGCTGTATTATTCTCCAGCAATCATACATGGAGGAACATTTGTGAATACAAACTGGAAATCACATTGTAAGAAGTAACTGAAGGGAAGACTTGAGTAACAATGGAATGGGAGTGGATGATAAGAATCAGAGGGAAGCATCTGGCTACACGTAACACAGTGCATGGATGCTCTGTGTCTGAGACTCCCAAACCCATTTGCCCACTGCTTCCTACAGACCAGAGAGGGAACAAGGACAAACTGGGGGCAAGGAGGGGAAGAGCAGAGAAGGGCTGTGGTGAGGGGAACACACACAACACTACAACTTTTCCTCCTAGTTTTTCCTCTCCAACGACTGCTGTGAAAAATCTTAGTCAGAGGGTGGAACAGGTCGCCTTACACTATCTAGTCTGTTTCCTCTGTAAAAAAAAAACCACAACACTTGAGAGTATATAAACTCCTAGCTCTACCTCTGTTCCATTCCCTATCTCCTGCTCCTCCCCTTCTGAACTGCCCTTTGGACAGTGGCTTCATCAGTTTTTCCCTAGAAAACTAAATGGGAAAAGAAAGAAGCAGCAAAGAGCTGTTATCAAACACTAGCTTCTGTTTGCTTCCTGCATAGCATCCAGCTTCTTGACAGTGACAAGGGCATAAAGGATGCCTAATACTTACATTTTAAAAGGCAGAAGGTTAAAGAGCAAACTATTTTTTAAATTCTGTTTCATAAAAACACTTAGATTTCCAGAGAAAACATTGATGCAACATCTTTCTTTCCTGAGCAGCTATATTCATGTAGAACTACTTCGTGGATATGAACTAATTAACTTAACTCTCACAATTCAAAACTTAAAAAGACTGGGAAACAGACAAGTAAACAGAGATGTTTGGTTGATATTCCCAAGGAAGGTATGGTTATAGCTGCCTGTCTCCCAGACCACTCAGTCTCCTCTCTACAAGCAGTGGATAAGCACCAGAAAAAAATCAAGAGCTTTTCCTTATGGTCTTTTCTGTTGCTTGGTGCATGCTCAGAAAAACGAAGAACCAGGCTACAACGCTTTACTCTTATCCCAAGGTGGACAAAAGAATTACTCAAAAGGTAATTATCCAAACTTTGGCAGTTAGAAGCTGTGCCAGCTACTCACTTTCTATGCAATTAGTGATACAATCTTCAAGTTACATTGATACTTTACCAAAAATATTCTCTGACTGATGAAAACAACTGCATTATCATAATATCTAGATTTGCACCGAGCAACTAATCTATCTCTGAACTTTATTTGGAATAAATACAGTAAGAGTGTCGCTGTCTCTTCAACTTCCCACAAGAACCCCTAGCAGACAGAGAGATTTGAAACCTCACGTCTTATTCATAGTGCAGGAGTAATAAAGATAGGTGAACGGATTTAATACTCACTCATTGAGGGTATCTTTCTGACCACAGAATTGCCCATAGCTGTCAGTCGGATAAATGACTTTTCTGGGATCGCCATGCACCCAAGCTGCAAGTATACACATAACTTTTAACATTTTTGTCAAGTGTACACAGTTAACAGTGTAAACAGACTAGCATGAAAATTATCACCTCTAATGTACCATTTTAATCTTTGTTGATCGCCACTGAAGAATATGGATTTGCAGGTTTCTTACTGAAAAAGTAAAATATAAAACAAACCGAAGCAAACAAAGATATGGATTAATTGGTAAGAAAGCAAACCAGTCCACTTTTTACCTTCAGGGCACATACGTCTGTGTTGTATCCAAAATATGACATAACTAACTTAAAAAAATAATGGTTAAGAGAGGAAAGAAGAGGAGCTAGCTATGCAGACAAATCTGAGGGTTCACAGACAAACACAATGACATTCAAATTAATAGGATCACCTGGGTCTGTGACAGAAATACAGAGGGTGTGACTGAATCTAATGGACTCCATTTGCGCTAAAAATGGAAAAAACCTCTCACTTTATAAATGAAAACATTTCCTGACCTCTCACTTGGCAATTATCCCATTCTTCAGTTACTAGGTCTGCACCTGGAACTTATGTATTACATGCTAGCATGAATCATAGCTCTGAATGGGAAGAGAGGTTTATATTGAACTTTTAAACTTCTTTTCTTCACTTGAAAGCAGGATTTCTTCTCCAAGGCATTTTCACCTGAACCATTCCTTCCCTTTGAGGATCAAGTACACACCAGCTATCACTATTTAGCAGTGTTATTTCTAAGCTGTAGCATGCAGACCTGACTAAGCTTCCTTCGTGATTAGCCAAAGACTAGCTTTTGAACTGTTCTGACCACTAACTGATTATTTGACTCTAAATAATAGAAATTTCATTTAAGTATCATCTAAAAGTATGATATAATGCCAGAATATAATTCCATATCACTGCCCTGAGCTGACACCCTAAAATCAGGTTGCTAGAGAACTGCAGAAACAACCATTGGTTTTCTCCCAAACATAAACATTGTGCTTGTGGAAAAGATTACAGGCATTACAAAGATTTTAGTCCCAACCTTCCCCCGCTTGCACTATATACCGAATGTCAGGAGCCCATTTAGATACACTTCAGGCTTTGATCTATGCAAACCACCTCAGACTTGCTTCTCTGTAATTACCCCATTTTCTCTCAACTTTGTGACATTACATTTAGTCATTTGTGAAACTGTCCTTTTCCTCAAGGTCACTTGGGCAAGAATAACAGTGCTGAACAATAATGATAAGATCTCAGAGCAGCAGACTGCAAATTTATTCAAATGTTTGGGACAGATGCACAACATATCTTCAATGACTTGCAAGTAGTTATAGAGAATCTGTAATACTACCTTTCACCTGGAATGGTTTTTACGTTACCAAAATGAATCTGCTCGGTCTTTTTAACCTATGTTAGTTTTCCTGTATTTTGGAGTCTGTAAATCAACTTGCTGCTCGGTATCAGCACTTTCCAAATGTTCAGATTAACAGCATTTCAGATTAACTGTGGTGTTCTAATGCCCAGAGAAAGCTGAAGTGCTTCACCAGTGTTAAATCTCATTTACTTTTTCATTTGTTAGCTTATTTCAGTAGCATTACTTAATAGGAACATTTAGGAGGCCTCAGCTCTCTCTTAGGAATTCCTATAGTCAGTTGATAACTCATATGTGTGCATGACATTAGAAAGCAGACAGCTCTCCAGTGATTGCAATGAGTCTGTAGGTTATGCCATGCATGCTTTCTTCCACCATGACACTGACAGCAGGGAGTTTTTCTTTCTACTTTAATATGACCTTGCCTGTCATACACGTAAAAGCCTGGTCCCAAAAGGATCAAGCTTCCATACAGACCGGAAAGACTTTTCAGGCCTTACTTGTATGATGTTAGACAACGCTAATATGTTGGTGTTTTCCCAGCTCCAAAATTAGGGTTTTTGTTAGTTTGGCACATTATTAAAGGGACTAATTTTTTGCATTTTACTGTATTTCTTCTTTAACACCAGCAAAACATGAAGCTGTAAAGATAAGCCCTACCACGACAGATTCAAAGTACTGGTGACAATTTTGTAGCAAGACTTGTATCTGCTTCACATAGATAATTTGGAAGTAGTTGCTACTGCCAACAACATCCCTTTCCTAAGCAGCATATTAAACCTGGAATTGCTTTTCAGTCCTCAGACAAACTTGGGAGAAAGGAGATAAACACTGTAACATACTATTGGTTTGGTTTGTTTTCTTTTTTGCTATCTCACTCTTATGAAGTGTGGGCCTTAAGAAGGGCCCATGTGACCCACCCTTACTTCCTTCAGCCAGTTTGGGTGGACTAACACAGCCAACAAGAATAAAACTCCGCCCATCAAATGGGCAAAGCAGTGCATTCTCCTCACGTTCTTTTTAGTTCTAATACAAAGCCTGCTGAAATATTTCAAAAGGTTTCCTTGGTTTCACTGGGTTTGTACCAACTTGGTCTCAAATTTAATCACTCATCTTTTGTAGTGTGTTTCTCCAATATTAGTATAAATTAGCAGAGCATAAACAATGGAATACACTGCTCACTTCTGAATAGAATTTCTCTTCAGACTACCTGCTTTGCCATTATTGAATTGTCTAAAACTACTCCTGCTTGGCATTAGCTGTCCTGTGTGCCTAAGGCTTCAGTTACGTTTTTAATAAAACAGCATCAAAAAGAATCTGCTTTTAAAAAATAGGTTTAGCACAGTTTGTGAAATTCTATCACAGGGATCAGCTGCTAGGTGGATGGAGAAAGACGCCTCTCAGCTACATTCTAAAGTGAAACAAAAGGTAATTTGGTCTGATTTACAACATAGACATTTAGCATTTAATTAACTCTGCAGCAGAAAGAAAAGATAAATGATCAATGGAAGAGAAAATACACACCTCTTTTCATTGCCTGTGCCAGGACTAACCATCAAGATTAATAAACTTAATCCTTTGTTACTTTCTTTGCAAACTGAGACCAATGACAGTGAAAGAATCCATGTGATAAATATACCAGTTTTCTGGCCTGCTCAGTGAAGAATAAGTACCTAATTCAACAGTTCTCACTGAGTGAAGGTTATTGTAAGATCTAGCTTGGCATAGGAGCATCATTTTGCATGTTGTGCTGCACTATTGGTGACTCATTATCAACCACTAAATGGAAAGGAATCCAGTCACATAAAATACTTATTCCAGCATGCTCTGATGCTCGTAAGGCTGCAGACTGAGTGCTGGCACAAAAATCTGGGCTAAAAAAGAAAATTAAAGAACAGCTGAACCATATTATACAGTTGACTCAGCCTTCAGAACAGCAATATCAGCAGTCCTGGCTGACTGGGCAGGTCCCAGCAGATTGGAAGTCAGCCAATACAACACCCATATATAAGAAGGGATGGAAGGATGATCTGGGAAATTACAGGCCTGTCAGTTTGACATCAGTGCCAGGGAAGCTGAAGGAGCAGATCATCCTGAGTTCCATTATGCAGCACATGCAGGACAACCAGGAGATCAGGCCCAGTCAGCATGGGCTTATGAAGGCAGGTCCTCTAACAAACTGATCTTCTATGATAGGGTGTCCTGCTTGTTGCATGAGGGAAAGGCTGTGGATGTTATCTACCTCAACTTTAGTAAGGCATTTGACACTGTTTCCCACAGCGTTCTCCTAGACTGCTCTTGGCTTGGATGGGCATACACTTTGCTGGGTGAAACACTGGTTGGATGGCTGAGTCCAGAGAGTTGTGGTCAATGGAGTTAAATCCAGTTGGCGGCTGGTCATGAGTGGTGTCCCCCAGGGCTCAGTACTGGGGCCACTCCTGTTTAACATCTTTATCAATGGTTTGGATGAGGGGATGGAGTGCACCCTTAGCATGTTTGCAGATGACACCAAGCTGGGTGGAAGTGTCCATTTGCTTGAGGGTCGGGAAGCTCTACAGAGGGATCTAGATAGGCT